TATATGGGTTAAAATAAAAATATATCAAATTATTGAGGAATATATGTATAAACTTATACATTATTAAGCTTACCCACAATCCCGGGATAAAATCACCCCGGGTATAGTACAAAGTGCTGGCGCTTGATCGCTTGGCTGAGGTTCCCATACCATATTGATTATTTTCGCATAAGTAAATTACAGGAAGATTTAAGACCTTCGCCAAATTGAAGGACTCGAACACTTGGCCTTGGTTGGCAGCACCATCACCGTAAAGAGTGATCACAACGTTGGGCTTGTTCATATGTTTGTATGCCAAGGATATGCCAGTGCCGAGTGGGACCTAAGAAAACGAGTGAAGGCATATTCAAGCAAATAGAAATCCACCCCTCGTTAAACCTACTTGTGCTCCAACGATTCCGTTTCCACCATAAAAATCTTTTCCAAAAATATGCATGCTACCCCCTCGTGCCTTGGATACCCCAGAAGTTTTCCCACATAACTCAGCCAGGATAGAGTGTGGTGTGTTTCCACGACTGTAAGCAAAGCCATGACAACGGTAGGATGTGATAAGTGCATCCCCGGGTTGGAGAGCCGCTTCGATTCCAGCAGCAACCGCCTCCTATAATAAAAGGATGAACGCAAATAACCAAATGAAATAAAAGCATATAGTGGATAAATAAGATAAACAAACCTGGCCAGAGTAAAGGTGACAGAAGCCACGAATAACCTTTTCCTTGTATAAATTACCTGCCGTTGTCTCCAATCTTCGTATGGTGTGCATCAACTTTAAATAATTAAGGGCTTGTTCACGTGTTATTGTAGCATTCATCGCAGGGCCTGTGTCGAGTTTATGATATTTGTAATCGACAAGTGGGATAACGGCACTTTCAGCAGTAGACATGTTACGGCCAAGTATGCGAGAACTGATCTGAATACTTTTTCCTAAAACCTGATTAAAATAAAGGACCATAAACATTATTACGGAGAAACGATTTAATTTCTGGGCCAAGAACATAGTGTGAAGCGGCAGGGAGTAGA